GGTTAAGAAAATTTTCCCTTAACCAATAATATTTCTCCACGTTTCAAGTGATTTCAAGCCCTTTAACAGCTCCCTCGCCAGCTGTCTATTCTAGAAGATTCTCATAACTACCTGGTGACTCGTCAGTTACTGCAGTTTTATCATAGTATTATCTGCAGCTTCAAGGAATGCCACAACATTAGTGTACCATTTTCCAACAATAAAAGAAAAATAAGTCCAAAGTTTCTCAACTAACTCCCATGATGCAAAAACATGTATAAATGATCCTAATATGTCCCTAATAATGCTAAAGTTCAAGGTTAACCTTGGTGAAAAGATCCTAAAAGATAACTCTTTTAGAGAGATATAACCTACCATGAAATTTTATTTGTATTCATCAACCCATATAAAAAATTTTGTGTTATTAATATATATGTCTACCCTAAAAAATATTTTAGTGTAACAAAACAAAGAGAATGTTGCAACAAAATAGAATCAAATAATAAGAGTATTTGAGAATGGATTGTTGTTTGTTATTTCTACACTTCAAATTACAATATATCTTGACATTTTTATAGGCTAATAATAGTAACTAACATCTCCTAAAAATCTATCACATATTCTAAATCTTAACCACACCTAGATAACATGACTTATTTGACACTCCCCATAGTTCATGCTTACGATTAACACTCCCCCTTAGTGCATGACAACATCGAGTGCAACTCTAAACTCTTCAAACTCTAGCTTTCCTAAAGCTTTTGTGAATATGTCCACTACTTGGTTGTTTGTAGAAACCCCTTGTAACTCAATTTCTTGACTCAATTTCTTGCAACTCTAAACTCTTCAAACTCTAGCTTTCCTGATTACTCTTTGTGTAACTCCGGTTTCATTTGCTACCCATGTTGTTATGATGGAGGCATTCTTTGCATCGGAGGAGAACGATACTTCATCATCAGTGTTGACAAAGGAATCATTAAATATGAAGTTATTTGTCATTTGAGGTATACCACTTCATCTTTGACCCATCCATGTCCCGCTTCGCCACAGAGGAACTGAACCCTTGTAGAAAACCATTTGAGGAGACACGCCCGGGTTCATCCTGAAGGAATAGTTTCCAACCCCTGGATCATCCGGAGACTTCCAAGACGTGTATGTTTGGTTCAGACCGGTTCTCAAATTGAACCCAATTTTCATAAATGAAAGCCAAGTATTGTAGGATAACCAAAACTCTGCCACAGGACCGTCTTTCTGGAATCATTCTGAATCAAAACAAGATTTCCCGAATCCAAAATTTGAGCAATGGTGTTCCTAGTGCCTGCGATGGAGATGTTTGTAGACCAAACAGGTACTGTTTGGTTTCCCTGGAACAAGACAAGATTTCCTCGACCATCGATTCTGAGAATCCCCAAGGTACCGTTAATGGGATTGTCTCTGTTAGCCACCCAAACAACTGTCTTGCCCGGAATCTGGTGATACCAGATGCCAACATATCGATTCCTGGAACTTCCGGGACTGAAAAATCCAATTGCAAAAATCTTGCCACCAGACACTATGACTTCATCGTTGTTATCTTTGATGAAGTGATGTTGCGTTATTGTGTCAACAGAAAAGGAGAAGTGAGAAAGAAGGAAAACAAGGAGTATTGTGAGAAGCCATTTAACAGGATTCATGACTGCTTCAGTATCTGGGTGTTAATGGTTATATTATTTCCAGGAGGGAGTGTTAAACTCCGGAGCTTTCATTTCTATTCATCCAGCGGAAAATAGTTGGTTGACAATCCGTGATTCCTTTACATGGAGCTGTCAAAATCTTTCTTCTTTTATGTGAACCCACATTAAATCCTCTAGCTTTCTAATTTTGCACCCGAGATTTTCAACTCATTTCAATATGAAAAATGTATATACAAATGGTCCCGATTATAAAATATTGTTTTGTTGAGTCTCTCAATTATTAAAAGTTATAAAGTGGTCTCTCGACTATTCATATGTTCTGAACTCATCATTTTTCATTAAAAATTGATAGTGGTCTTAGTTGTATGTTAACTTGTTGACTAAGATATAATAAATCTGATCACAGAATCGTTTGAGCTGTACTTTATGGATCAACTCTCTGTTTATATTATATCGTCGAGATAGTGCTTTAAAGCAACGACAATTCCAGTAAACATCATTAAGATATCATTTTATCATATCCTAACCAATATGTTAATTCAGTAAACAGACTGGAAGGCAAGTTAAATGTCTTCGTACTGATAATGGTTTAGAATTTTGTTTTGGAGAATTTAATAAGTTATGTAAGAAAGAAGGGATTGTGAGACACCTGACAGTCCGCCAAACACCACAACAAAATGGTGTTGCTAAACGGATGAATAGAACGATAATGGAAAGGGTTCGTTGCATGCTCTCTAATGTTGGTCTACCGAAGTCATTTTGGGCTGAAGCGGCTTTGCTAGCATGTTTTCTGATTAACATGTCTCCGTCTATGGTCATTGACAAAAAGACTCCGCAAGAGGTATGGTCTGGTAAGCCCGCAGATTATTCTGATTTGCAGATATTTGGTTTTCTTTTGTATGCTCATGTAAACAATGGTAAATTGGAGCCTAAATCCATAAAGTGCATCTTTATAGGATATAAATCGAGAGTAAAAGGCTATAAGTTGTAGTGTCCCAAAACTAGAAAGATAGTTATTAACATAGATGTGATATTTGATGAATCTACTATGTTGTGAGGATCACCCCTTAATGAAACTACCAAGAATTCACATGAATAAGAGATCGCACAAAAGAAGGTGGTGATTCAGTTTGAAGTAGGGTTTGTATATAACACACTAGCAGAGAATAGAACTCCTCTATAAAAAAATTGATTCATCGTCGTCTATTTCTCCTAAAAGAGAAATCAAGTGACCGCAAAGGTACGCAGAGGTTGATCTAGTTGTGTACGCCCTGTGTAGCGAAAGACATTGATACGAACCAAGAGTCATCATCTTATTTAGAGGCTATTAACTGCAAAGACTCAGACAAGTGGATGATCGCAATGCAAGAGGAAATAGAGTTACTTCACAAGAATAACACTTGAAATTTAGTAAAACTTCCTAGTGAAAAGAGAGCCATTCAGTGTAAATTGGTTAAAAAAAAGGAAGGAATTCCGGGAGTTGAAGAACCTAGATACAAGGCAAGGCAGGTTGTGAAGGGATTTATCCAAATCCCTGATATTGACTTCAATGATGTGTCTTCTCCGGTGGTAAAGCATAGTTCGATTAGAGCTTTGCTTGAGGTAGTAGTTATTCGAGACCTTGAGCTTGAGCAGTTAGATGTGAAAACGACATTCTTGCACAGCGAACTTGAATAGGAAATTTACATGCAACAGCTGAAGGTTTCATGATCTCAGGAATGGAAGACCATGTATGTTTGTTGAAGAAATCTCTTTATGGACTTAAGCAGTCACCTAGAAAATGGTATAAGAGGTTTGACACTTTTATGATTTCTCTTGATTTTAAGCGAAGCAATTTTGACAGTTTTGTTTACTTCAAAAAGAATCGTAATGGTTCACCTATATACCTGCTTCTTTATGTTTATGATATGTTGATAGTTGTGAACAAAAAAAAAGAGATTAGACATGTGAAAACTCAGTTTAATAAGGAGTTTGAGATGAAAGATTTGGATCCTGTGAAGAAGATACTCAGAATGGAGATTATAAGAGATAGAAAAGCGGGTAAATTGTACCTAAGTCAAAAGGGGCACATTGAAAAGGTTCTTCACAGGTTCAATATGCAAAGTGTGAAGCCTGTAATTACTCCACTGGCAACTCACTTTAGACTTTCATGAGACTGTCACCAAAATCAGATGCGGAGGTAGAGTACATGTCATGTGTTCCATATTCTAGCGCTGTGGGATCTCTGATGTATGCTATGATTTGTGTGTGTCCGGACTTGGTGTACGTAGTAAGTTCAGTGAGTTTTCAGCTATCTTCGAGGTACTAGTGATGTTTGCTTGCAGTTCGGACAAACTAGAGATGGAGTCGTAGGGTACATAGATTCTGATTTTGCAGGAGATCTTGATAAGATAAGATCACTTACAGGGTACGTTTTTACGGTTAGAGGATGAGCCTTAAGTTGGAAAGCTACTCTACAGAACACAGTCGCCTTGTCAACTACTGAAGCCGAATACATGGCGATCACTGAAGCTTGTAAGGAAGCGATATGGTTGAAATGACTCTTTGGTGAACTTAGTGAAGACCTTCAGATCAGTACGGTGTTCTATGACAGTTATAGTGATATATTCTTAACGAAAGATCAAATGTTTCATGATCGGACGAAACATATTGATATTCGCTATCACTTTGTGCATGACGTAATTGCTCGAGTTGACATTGTTGTGAGCAAAATCAACACTCATGACAATCCTGCAGACATGATGACCAAACCGCTCCCTACAACCAAGTCTGAGCATTGCTTGGACTTGGACTTGGTCGGTGTCCATTACTGAATATTACCCTTTTGATGGGTGTTATGGAAGAGGTGGAGAACTTGTTCGTTGAAGTGAATAATTATTTTTGTTGAGTTTGGGTGTCACATTAAATTTGGGTGTTTTGTCTCGAAACCTTTGTACTTTCAGAAATCGTGTCAAGGTGGAGATTTGTTAGAGTTTGACTCGAATTCAAAGTGATACAAATTAATTAATATATAAATATTGGGAAAGTAAGAAACTCAGTTTGATTAAAAGTATAAAAAATTATTAAAGTAGATTTTTTACTTTATTTAATTTTCCTTTGTAATCAAGTATTTATCCCTATAAATAGATACTAAGAGTCAGGGTTAGATATCAAGTTCTTTTCATTCATCAAAATCCTCTTGTATTTTCTACCTTCATATTAGTAAAATTCTTCTCTTTTGCCCCATTGTTTTTCTCTTTTGGGTTTTCCACGTAAATACTGGTGTTCTTTTTTTCCCCCTTTTCGATCGTGTTTATTTGTTTGCCGATAATCATCTTTCTGATACTATAACACATAGAGACTTGAAAACAAGCAATGTCTTATTCCATGCTACCATGACTCCCAAAATTTTAGATTTTGGCATGGCCAGGATATTTGGAGGAGATCAAACAGAAGGTGATACTAAACGTGTAGGTGGAACATAGTAAGCACTGCAAATGCATGGTTTAGAGCCAACTTCTGCTACAAGTTTCAAACAAGTTCTCATCATTTCCTTTCCGTTTGTTTTTTTAGCGGTTACATGTCGCCGGAGTACGCAATGCATGGACACTTCTCGATGAAATCCGATGTTTATAGCTTTGGAGTCCTGTTATTAGAGATCATCACTGACAAAAAGAACAGCAATTATTTTGCTGATAGTCCGTCTTTGAATCTGGTCGGACATGTAAGTAAACCAAGTTTCCAGAACAATTCTATCAACTGTTGTGAATTAAATCAATATCTCCCAATATTCAAACAACATTGTTTCAGGTTTGGGAGCTCTGGAATGAAGACAGAGCCATGGAAGTTGTTGACTCGGCATTAGGCGATTCATATTCTACTGATGACATTCTTAAATACATTCAAATTGGGCTGCTGTGCGTTCAAGAACATGCAACACATCGACCAACTATGGCCACAGTCATTTCTATGTTTAGTAACGAAACGACTCTTCCGTCCCCGAATCAACCTGCATTTATAGAGAAGAGAGTTAAGAAAGGGGATGAAAGATCGAGTAGTACTGAAGGAACCAACTCCATAAATGGTGTGACAGTCACTATGATTCAAGCTCGCTAAACATGTTATAATGCTTCATAGCCAAGCTTCAGCCATTGACTTTAGTTGTGATGACTGATGATAGATAGATGGATGACTACCATTTCTTCTACAGGTAGAGTCAATATTACATTCAGTCAAGAAAGTAATGTATATATCTTGCTGCACAAGAATCATATGAACATGATTGAAGGAAACATCAACAGGAAGAACCTAAGTTGATTTTTTTTGTGTATTGGTTGCTTTTTTTTTGTAATTAAGTTCATATTCAATTTCCCTGAAGGGAAAATTTGCACCTCTAGTCCCTCACATGTCCCTCCTCATTCAAAATCACTCCTAATGACAAGGAATATTTATATATGCTATTAATGCATCAAATATAACTACTAAATCGATCAAGCTTGTAGTATATTGACAAGGAATATTGCTTTAATCTTGATTGACGTTAGATCTTGAGATTGATCCATAGATAACCTCTCCCCTCCCCTTGTCAATATGTATATATGTATGTATATATATAACTACTAGTAATATTGTGTCGATATATATTTATACAATTGATATATATAAACCAGATGTAGTTCTAGCGAGCTTGAACCATGGTGATAGTCACATCATTTACAGATCCAGTTCCTTCACTGGTCGATATCTCATCGCCGTGGTGAGATTTTGCTACAAATGCAGGCTGTTTCGGCAATGGAAGAGTCGTTTCGTTGCTCAACATGAAACAACTGTCGACATCGTCGGTCTATCTGATGCATGTTCTTGCACGCACAACAGCCCGATTCGAATGCATTTCAAAAACTCATCAGCAGAATATGAATCACCTAATGCCGAGTCAACTGCTTCAATGGCTTTGTCTTCTTTCCATAAATCCCAAACCTGAAACAATGTTGTTTGAATCATTTGAATGCAAAATTCTGATTTAATTGTTGGGAAGTTCTTTAAGTTTAGTTACTCACATGTCCTACGAGATTTGAAGAGGGGTTATCAGGAAAATAAGTGCTATTCTTTTTGCCGGTGATAATCTCTAAAAGCAGAACTCCGAAGCTATAAACATCGGATTTCATTGAGAAGTGACCGTGCATCGCATACTCCGGCGACATGTAACCGCTGAAAAAACAGAGAAACAGCAAGGAAATGGTGAGAATTTGTTTGAAATTGTATGCAGACTTTTCATATGGGGTACTTACTATGTTCCGACTATACGTTTAGTATCACCTTCAATTTGGTCTCCACCAAATATTCTGGCCATGCCGAAATCAGAAATTTTCGGATTCATCACAGCATCAAGTAAGACGTTGCTTGCCTTCAAATCTCTATGAATGATTCTTAGTCTGGAATCCTGATGAAGGTACAAGATTCCTCGAGCAATACCACAAATAATTTCTAAGCGCTTTTTCCAATCCAAGAGTGAACTTTTTGATTCATCTGTATCCAAAATCAGTTTTCAAAAGGATTAATCATTGCATACCTTAAAAATGTAGTACTTGGCATGAGTATTCAACAAATCAGAAGAGACAAACCGAAAATGATCGAGTCTAGACTCTTATTTGGTAAGAACTCATAGATTAACATCTTCTCTTCACCCTCAATGCAACATCCCAGCATCCTTACTAGATTCCTGTGCTGAAGTTTTGCAATTAGCACAATCTCATTCTTAAACTCTTGTACTCCCTGCCCTGAGTGCTTTGATAGTCTTTTCACTGCTATTTCTCTTCCATTGAAGAGCACACCCTGCAAATGCAAAGGAATTTCCTTTAACCAATGGTGGACAGTAGGAACTCTATGTATATAAATAGTTGTTAAGTGAAAATCTACCTTGTAAACGGGGCCAAATCCGCCTTGTCCAAGTTTGTTATCAGTAGAGAAATTATTGGTGGCAGCGGCTATGGCGCTGAAATCAAAGAATGGTAAATCTCCATTTCTTCTGCTCTCATCGACCTCCTTTTCACCTATAGAGTCTTCGATGAACGATGAACTTGTAAAACGAAAGATATTTTTCCTTTTTCTTCTTTCTGCTGTCAAACACGAGATCATGGTTAAACCAATTGCTAATCTGTACAATGACATGTAGACAATTTGGTTGCAAACACGTACCTCTTCTAAGCCTTCTCACCATGCAATGCAACAAGGCCAGAAGAATAAGAAATAGTACAACTGCAGAAACTATGGTAATCGCAAGCACTCCCTTCTTGTGAAATGGCCCTTTCTTTGTATACCGAGCTAACAAGATGGGGATATGATTAGTATTTGTATATTAACAAGCCTGGTCTAAATATGCTCTACATTTCTTGTTTTAGGTGTTTAAGGTCAACTAACTGATTTGGACCACCCACAGATAATTATCTGCAACTTGCATATAGGAAAAGTCGACGTTTGTTGCAAATAGAGAATTAAATGTGCAGGATAAGTACCTAAGTCATTGGCATCCACGCGTATGTATAGATCTTGTCCCGCATCTTTATATGTTCTTGCATCAACCAAGTCACCGTGCCAAGTCAAGCAGCCAATCCCTCCGTCGGTCTCCGCGTATGCACTAGCATAAGCCACGCAAGAACAATTTCTCGAACAGTCGTTCTCGCAATGTTTTAATCCGATACTCATGTCTACGCTTGCCGCCGATGTGTCTGGCACCTTGGCGTGTGCCACCTTGACGAACCCTTCTCCTGTCTGACACGTGGAGGCACCAAGTTTCTTCACGCATCCTCGTGATCCATCTCTTAGATACCATTCTTGGGATGACTTGGGTACGAATCCCGGAAAACATGTGCACTCGAACACATCCGATTGAACAGGGTTGCAGTAACCATTCGGTCCACAATGCCCGTAAAAATCGCACTGGTCATTTGGGGCGGACCAGAACCCAATCCAATGTTGCGCTTCACGGTTCCATGTGAATCTTTGTTGAATCCCGGTTTCATTCGTTACCATTCTTGTAATTAAGGAAGGGTTCGTCACCCTATACGTGATCGACACTTCATCAGCAGTGTTGACAAAAGAAACATTAAATATGTAGCTGTTTGTCATTTCAGGTACTCCACTCCATCTTCGCCCGGTCCATGACCCGGTCCTCCACCGAGGAGCTGAACCTTTGTACAAATAGCTGAGGAAACCCGGTCGGGTTGATCCTGTAGGAATAGTTTCCAATCCCCGGATCATCTGGTGACTTCCAAGACGTTGTGATTCGATTCAAACCGGTTCTAAAACTCAACCCGAGTTTCATAAACGGGAGTAAAGAGTTGGAGGGATAATCAAAACTCTGCCACAGCACTGCCCTTCTGATATCATTCTGAAGCAAAGCAAGATTTCCCGAATCCAGAATTTGAGCAATGGTGTTCCTAGTGCCTATGATGGAGATGTTTGTAGACCAGACAGGAAGTGTTTGGTTTCCCTGGAACAAGGCAAGATTTCCTCGACCATCGATCCCAAGATTCCCGGAGTTGTCTTCGATGGGATTGTCTCTGTTAGCCACCCAAACAACTGTCTTCTCCGGAACCTGAAAATACCAGATGCCAACATATCGATTCCTCGAACTTCCGGGGCTGAAAAACCCGAGCGCGAAAACCTTGCCACTAGAGACCACGATTTCACCATCGTCTCTGATGAAGTGATCTATTGTAATCGTATCAGCAGATATGGAGAAATGAGAAATAAACAAAAGAAACAGTATTCTGACAAGCCATTTAACAGGATTCATCACTGTTTTGGTTTATGATTAGGGTGTTCAGAAGAAAGGTATAGCATTAATTTGCCGGAGTAGTTGGTGAGCTCATTAATAAGTGGAACCCCATGAACACTGTACTAGCCGAGGTTTAAAATGATGGGTAAATTATATCATTTCTCACTTAACTATACTCTTTCTCCTATTTTACTCATTATATTTTTAATTTTTCTAATTTACTCGGTGAACTTTCGAACTGTTACTGTTTTGATCACTCTGAATTATTTTATTATAATTTCGGTACGACAGAATTTTTTTATTATTTAATATAAAATAAAAACAAAAGATGATTAGACGCCACCACCAACTACCGTCGACCGTCGTAGATGGTGGTCGTTTGGTCCCAATATCATGGGTCGGTTCGTATCGACCCCTGATTCTGAATTTGGTGGTTATTTGATTGGAAGATGTCCCAAAACTCATGAATCTCGACTGAAACATTTTGGCTTCCGCAATTTCAATCTCCAATTCGTGGTCTTCAAAACTAGTTCCGACAAAATGGAAGTCGGGATCAGACTCACGATGTCGAGGCAAAGTGACCCATGAAATTTGGTATTGAACGATTACTATCTATGGTGGTCGCCGACGGCCGACGGCCGACGGTGGTGTCCGACCACCTTATGTTTTTATTTTATATTAAATAATAATAAAAATATCACGTCATACGAAAATAATAATAAACTAATTCAGAAGGATTAAAATAGGAACACCTCAAAAATTTAGCGAGTAAATTAAAAAAATTGAAAGTATAATGAATAAAATAAGAGAAAAAATATAATTTAATGAAAAATAATGTAGTTGACTTTTCAAAATCTGATCTTAGGGATTAGTTCCACCCAAAGAGCCATAACGCTCATAACATTTGCACCTAACGCATTGGCTTTGGCTCACCTAATGCGTACGAAATTTAAGCACCAAGAAATCCTTTGGCTTGGAAAACTTGGACCACCAAAATTAAGAAGAAGAAAAAGAAATTGACAGCCACGGGTGAGTTTTTTTTGCTTATCATGAGCACCAATCTCGCTATCTGGGTAAGCGTTCAATCAAATCAAGTCGAATTAAAAAAATTTAAGTTATTCGAGTTGATGAATTATATTTTACAACTCGAAATTGATTTGAATTTTTTTAAATCAAGTCGAATTTAAGAAATTCGAGTCGAGTTGTTCTAATTTCTCTACAAAATAATATTTTTTTCATTAAACAACAAGCCTCATCTCAAAGCTTAAAATCTTCTCTTAATCATGCTAATTGATGATTTCAAATGAATATGACAAATTTACACTGAAAATAAAGCTAATTAAATTAAAAG